TTTGCAATGAGTAGCATTTTATATTTCCCCATCATTTATTATTTTCTAAATGCCCATATTAAAAGGGAATTCTTACTTCTGGTTCAAAATATTGTAAGGAGATAGTCTATTTAGTATAAAAGATGGCTTTTGAAATTACCCCCCTCCACCACTATTTAGTATAAAAGATGGCTTTTGAAATTACCCCCCCCCCCCACCCCACCATCCTTCCTTGTTACTCAAAATATTGTAAGTTGTAAGGAGATAGTATGATAGAGAAATTTTGAAACCTGCAGCCCCACCACCCTTTATTGTTAAGTGCTGTGTGGTAACCTGTTCTTATTATCAAAGTCGTTATATATGTATGTCCTTTCTGAAATATTCATTCAATTTTTAGTGTTGAAGTCGAGATCTTACACATTTCATATCATTTATAAACGGACACCTCCAAAGTGCGTTTGCCTTGTTTTTATTGCTCTCTCAAGATCAATGTTCATATTCACAATAATATTTTTCTATAATTTATATATAACATACATATTGTTAACATTAACTACAGAGAATTCATAAGTAGTTTTATATATAGATTAAATTATGTTCAACGAACTTACAACAGTTTACATTTAGTTTGAAAATAAAAATACATGTAATTTTAAGATGTTACGTTTATTCTAAATGACTCCATGTGTTTCAAAGACAATATTTATCCCGACCGACCGACAAGCTGACTCCGTTTGTAGGGGTATAATAAAGTTTTACAGCAAAAATACGGAAAATAAAAATACGAATTTTAATTCATCAATATTTCCCAAAAATTATTTATAGGTATAGATCTATGATAAAATTATCTATCAAGGGCAGGACTTCCTGCTACAAAGTCTACGACATCGTAGTTATGATGTAATTTGGACGACACCCGTAACCCGGTTGCGAGTTGAGCAATGGCTGCGGTTGTAGGTAGAACAACTGATTGCGAGTAGAACAACTGGTTGTGGGTAGAATAGCTGATTGCGGGTAGAATAGCTGGTTGTGGGTAGAACAACTGGTTGTGGGTACAGCAACCGGTTGCGAGTTGAGCAATGGCTGCGGTTGTAGGTAGAACAACTGATTGCGAGTAGAACAACTGGTTGTGGGTAGAATAGCTGATTGCGGGTAGAATAGCTGGTTGTGGGTAGAACAACTGATTGCGGGGTACAGCAACCGGTTGCGAGTAGAACAACTGGATGCGGGTATAGCAACAGGTTGTCTATGTTATTCTCAAATCAAATAAGCGATAAATGAACATTTTTGTAAGCGTATATGCCCTGTGAATGTAACGTCAGCTGGGACGAAATATACACATGTCCATTATGTATATATGCGCATGTCGTCTGCAATATAATTCAGAAAATAATCGTGAAAATTAATTATGTCTTACCTAGCTGTGATCGGAACTGATTGACCTTTATTGCTAGAGGATGACCTTCTGCACATCTATGACAAGGCTCTGAAGTGTTACGATGGGCATATCTTATTTAGCGGCAACGTCAATTAAACCATAATTTGCACGTGAAAGTACATGTATAATATAGCATTGGAAAAATTATTGATTTTCCTAGCCAACAGTCTACTTTCGCACGATTTGCGCGTGCAATAAAATTTTAGCAGGTCATTAAATACATGTGGTTTTGTTTACTGGTTGTAAACATGGCCGGAGTTGTATTGTGTGTAAAGAGCATATTTTGCAAAATTTTCGATGGTTATTGTGTAGAATGCACGTCAGAAATAATCAAAGCACAGAAGGCTGAATTTGTTTGGATCTCAGAATGTCAGAAAGGTGAAGGTTGTGAGATTATAAACCAATTTGTTTTTGTACAGTGCCACCAATGCTTTCCAGTGTTCAACTGTAGTAAATTGGCTATAAGACTGATTGCAACACTGATATTCAATTCAAGTTTATTTGACTTAAACAATTTTAAAAAAATTGGGAGTTGCCTTAAATGGGATTTGAACTCTAGACCTCTCGATTCTAAGCGAGCGTGCAAACCCCTCGGCCACGGTGAAGGTATATGTTTATGGCCTGAAGAAAACCATATCATTCTAAGTTAGGGTTTGTAACACTTATTATTTCGACGTTAAACCTGTTGTTTAACACAGATGTAAATAATCATGGAGCTTACTATAAGCATGTATATCTATAAAGAATAAAACAATATTAGAAATCTTCGACCATTCGGGAACTATTGTGCTTGAAAATTAATGCGCCTGTCATTTGACAATCTTTAAGCAGTGGTCTCCCCTGAAATTTTCGGCGTTAGTGTACATATAAAGGGAAGTAACCGCTTCAAAAAAAGCGGAATTCTTTCGGCATATGCAGTTAACAGCATCAGGGTCTGAAATTTTGCTACCATTATTTGTTTTGGTCTGACGACCCAAACAAATGAAAACGGATCTGGATTTACTTTATGGAGAAAATGCCCTTCCACATCGTACAATTGTAGGGTGTCAATGTTTAGGGAAAGTAGAACTAATGTTAAGGATGATCCTGGGCAGCCGTGGGCGGCCAATTTCCGCTACTTCTGAAAAAGGCATCAGCTCTGTCAAAGCCATAGTTGATGAAGATGCAAGATATACCGTGGAGGAGATAAGTAACATGTCGGGTCTTAGTGTGTCATATGTGTTTTCATATGTCATATATGTTTTCCATCTTGAAAGAAAAGTTACAGTTAAAGAAATTTGATCCCGAATTTGCTAACTTCTGACCAGAAAAGGGAGCGGGTTGAAAAAGCCTCTGCCCTATTAACTAGGGTCAAAGATCAAGATCCTAGACGCCTGGGAGAAGTTGTCACAGGGGATGAAACGTGGCTTTATTTTTTGAACCCGACAATAATTCCTTAGGTGAAAACAGCGATCGCCCAGTTGTTGCTCGACGTAGTAGGAGCGTTGAAATAGTTATGTACGTACGCTCTATTTTTTGACAGTGATGGAATAGTGGCCCGTGTCGCTACGTCTGAGAGGGTTAGTGTCACTGGAACATTTTACCGTGACAATGTTCCCACTGATATAGTTAATCACTACATTACGAAGAACAAAAGTTCCGGGGCGCGCAGGATCAAAGACCTCCATGATAATTCACCTGCGACCGGTCAGCCTTGGCTCAAGCTTGATTAGAGGAGCACAGGTTTAACTACATCCCGCTTATAGCCCTGACCTCTCTCCTTGTGACTTTTGGTTAAATTCATACATCAGATCATGCTTTCGCTGTCGCCGGTTCGAAACCCGTAGTGCCGTCGGAAGCGCTCTCTACTAGTGTATAATCAGTATACCCAAAGAACAGTTAAAAATGCTCTCTTTTTTTCGGAATGGATTCTGGGGCTGTGTAGAGGTCCATAATGAATATTTTGAAGGACTCTACTAATCATTTTTTACGGAAAAAACGCGCTGCAGTTACCACTATTTAAAATATGCCCCTCGATTGTAGCTTTCTTGATATCCCCAAAATTTATTCATATAAATGAGGAAGGCTTTCCAGTCACATGTAAAAATTTGCTTCCCAACAGAATTGATATACATGTATCAGAGATTATACACTTAAATCTCGTCAGGAACGGTGACGGCCGGGATTTATGCTCTCTTGTGTCCATTTCCTACCACAATTATATAATACTAGTAATCATCCCTTATAATATCAAACAAAATTTGCGCTGAGGCAAGGCAATAACTAACACCCGATGGCCAAAGAACATAGATTGTTAATGGCACAATTGGCGACTTGTTCTGTTCAAGTGAAAATATAAATATTAGTAACAGAAGATAAGTTAACTGAACTTACTTAAACTTGATTTTATTTTGACTTATCAAAAAAACTATTGCACAAAAAATCAATTCTTTCAAATTTGCCCCAACAAGTTCAAATTTACCTTAGAAAATAAGGATATAAAACAAAGTAAAATTAAAATACTCCCGTCAGTGAACACTTTAATAAGAATGATCCATTATACATATAATCTTCCAAAGGCACAACCTTTAAGTTTTGCACACACAGAGAAAATTCTCACAGCTCGAAAATTTGGATAATCAACAATAATTTTATAGAAATTTTGCATATAAAGGGACATAACTCAATTATCAGTTGATTGTAGCTAAAGCTGTGTTCTTTATATTCGAAAGTTATCCCGTGGAAACCAATAATTTAACAGAAAACTTGGTTAAAAAGGAGCATTATTTTGTTTTAAACCTGCGTTTTATATAATATACTTACATCTCAAATATAAACACATTCATTGTTTACCATCAAATGTTATCCCCCGAAAACCAATAATTGTCTGTGGACAGACGGACGCCGTTCGTTCCATACAAAGAATTTTCGGGCGGGAAACAATTGTAAAAATCTTTTGTTAACAAGACGCTGTATATATGTACAAGTTAGTAAATAAAATTCTGTTCTGTAAAAATATTGGTAGCTTGCAAATATTTTTAGATTTTTGCTGGTCTTTTCTTTTACTGTTGACAAGGAATAATTTACTGGTTCGAAAGTACAACCTGCCGAAGTTCAGTTATTAAACCAATGTCAACAAAAATACATTTTGTTTTTGACAATTACATTCAAAGTCTGTATTATAATAGATAACAGACCATATCTAATAAGTGATGCCAGCACTTGCTAAACTAAGTAGAATATCTCAATAACCGGCAAAGAATGTCCTATGATGTATATAATTATTTCCAAATAAAGTATTCCTGGCTTCAAATATGCTAGTCATTTTAAGGTTCGTCAAGGTGAGAGTGAAATGAAATTGTCCAGCTTCATTATTTTGGAACAGCCCCATATCAATCTTGGTGATATCAATAGGCCAGCAAAGAGTATGGTCAGACTGCGTGGATACTTGTGGCTAATGCCTAAAGCTAATCACTTCCAGTTCCAGCATAGTAGTGTTGTTTTTTTCTTTCTTCTTGTTTTTTTTAAAGCAAATCCAGTGAAAAATGCTTAAGTGTTGTTGAAAATGTCCTCATAACAGTATCTTACAGATGATAAAACACTCTTCATAAATAGTTCATTTATTTCATATTTTTCTCAATATTTTACAGCATAAAATAGACAAAGTTTCATAAAAATACAAATGACAATTCACCTCTCACCAGCTAATACATACACGACTGACAGTGAAATAATTATCATTTATTTCATGACAAAAATGGACCTGATTCACCCTATTGTAAATGTGATGAATGTATTTCTTCAGGAATAACACAATCTAATGCATTATTAAAATGAGCCTTAAAATACAACTAGTAACAATGAAAATTTCAAAATCAATGTGGAAGAATATTAATTTAACTTGACAATATTTCTTTAGCAAAATTGGAATACAATTCCCTTCACAATACTTTTCTTTAAAATTATAATTGGACAGCAATTTCTAAACTCTGTTTTCATTCATTCCAAAATGAAAATTTTCTTTGGTCCTTCATGCTGGTGCAAATTGAGTCATCACACTGATTACATCGCTGTTACAATAAATTACATTCTCATTTCTCTCTTTTATTAAAATCTTAAAATTTTCACATTTCAATATAAAATTGATTTTCTGTGTTTTTGTATTTTTCTTACACAATTTATTATTAAAGCAAATTGCACCATAATGTAGTTGTTTTATCTTTAAAAATGTTTATAAAGTTTATATATCCTAAACTGGTTGTTGTTTATCCTCGGGTGTATTTTCCCCAGATGTGAAGCATGAACACAGAGGCAATGAAAATCAAGCTCATAACTAATACTGGTACTGGTCCACTGAAAATAAAAAACAGAAAAAGAATATAATAATAATTATTATTTACAACAGTTACTTCTGACTAAAATTTTTTCAACACTCAAATCTTAGCGGCAATGTTTTATTTACTTCCAACAAACATGACTTTCATTTGAATGACAGGAATCAATTATGGATCATTTATATATATCCATTTTCATCACTAGTTTTTTTATCTTTCACTTTCAAAATGAAAAAAAGTTATTTTCCAAAGATAATAATTTCCCAAACTAACTGACCCAATAACTCTTTTTTGTTTTGTTTCCATGTTTCTTAACTAGCTAGAATGCTTCCTACATGAAAACATCAAGTCTCTGTGGTGTGAAGTCAAAAACTTTAACCACAGTCATTGAGATTTTAGTGTTAAATTAAATAAATTGACCTGCAAGAACTACCAGTGTATTATACACTGATAATTAATATACATTAAGATGTATATACTTTCAAATTTAAAACCTGAATTTTTTTAACTGTATATACTTGTACTTGCCAAAATATATCAATCCTAATGGAACCCAGGTAAATGATTTCTATTAGGTGTATAAACTTACACTTTAATTCCTGGAGAGTCTTCTGTGTAGAATCTCCACATACCAGCACTGCCACCTCCAGCAGGCTTTGCACGCCCAGCACTACTTGATGATGGTGTTTTCCTGCAATAATAATAACAACAATGTTATAATCCTCCCCATGATTACTTTTATGAACAAACAAAAGCAAATTATTAAAGTCAATATATGACAAAAGCGAATTTTTACTTTTGACCACCCAACAGTTGTTGGCTTAAATCAGAGTTTGAAATCCCTAGAGTTTTAAGCCTAAGTTCAGGGGAAATATGCAGAAATCTGTGTAAGGGGAGATCCTTTAAGCCTTAAATTATTGTCAAACTATGGTGTGTGTAAAAATCTTTAAACATATAAAAGGTGTAAAGATTGATGTGATCATAAGAGTGATGACATTTCTTCCAATGGAAATTGTGCATTGACCATTTCATTTACGCCTGGAGAGACATTAAAGTTTAAAATAGTTTACCTTTGTCTGACAGTTGATCCACCAGATCTTGGTGAGACTGTTTTAGATGATGATGGGGACCTGCCCCCTCCTACTGATGTTGCACTAGCTGGTGCTGGCTGTAAAAGAAAAATCAAAGTTATAATTTAAATCAATTTGCAGGGCTGGCTCGTATACTAGTATCTTTCCAACAGGAAAGTTCTATGAAACCATGAATGCAGTTTTGTACTTCCTTATGCAAAAAACTGTCAAGAGTTAATTTTCCCCAAATTTAATGGAAGGGTCACTCTGCCTAATTGTGAAATAAGCCCTTTCTTGACTCATTTTACTTATATTGACTACTGCATCTTTATGCAGCAAACCATTCATCTATCTTTCTAGTTATTCAGGCCAATCTGTCAATAACGTGATGCGAAGTTCAGCTTCAAATCTAACTTCTAAGGCCTTTTTGCCAACCACTTACTCTTTTTGTAAGTAAACCACATTTAATGTCTGAACGTTTTATGAGTAGTTATTTCACCCAATTCTACTTAATTATTATATTTGATTTTCATACATGGATGAACAATACCACAATTTTTAATTAAAAAAAAAAAACACCGAACAATTGACAAATAATTTGTCTTAAAATTTCATTCACCTATTTGCAACATTTGAATTAATAAAAGTAAACACTTTTCCACACAATCTACAGTTTTCACCGATTCACAAGCTATTCCAACATCAATATTCGCCAGAAAAAAGTATTTTTCTTTATGTCAATAAAATTTATGATGTTGGAATATGGTGAGCAAAACTTTGCATTTATGATTTAATCGACGACAGATATTACCCGATGAATATAACAGCACGGTCAATATAATTAAATATAAATTATCATTTAAATTATGGCATTGTGATTATTTTAAACAAAAGTTATAAAAAAGCGAACTTTTCTTACCATCTTTCGTTTGTCTGTCTACCGGTGAATTCGACGTGTCAAGTTTGAAGGAAGTGACGTCACTGGTCAGCAATACGGCTTTTAATTTTCATACCGTACCGTACCGTATAAGTTGAACACCCCTAAAATATTTTTCCGGTACGAATATAAAGATAATCAGTTTCTTGTTAACAAATAAATAAATTCTATATAGACTAGATGAAAATCTCATAAAAATGATATTTTTACTTTAAAGAATGCAACATATTTTTAATGGAGTGTATTTCTGTTGAAATGTCCATTTCTTATACATGTGATACTGTACATGTTTATTTTATATGATTTCTAGATATTCTAATAATGTCATAATGAAATTATCAAAGTGTCGTTCCATCACAAAGTGACAAAAATTAATGAAGGTGAAATGCATTATTTTAGTGAGATTTCTGCAGAAATACAACGCTTCATCGTAAATCTTAGGCACTCCCATATCGGAAACAAATACACATAATAACAAGCAAAAATAAAAGAGAATTAGTCCTCAACACAAACATTGTGAAGTTATGATTTGACGACGTCATATTTTACAGATCATGAGGCTTAAATCAGTAAAAATAAATTATAACCATATGAGAAAAAGAACAGTTTACATGACATTTCATTCCTGAGCACTACATAATACTACTTATGGACATTTTGCATCTGGTGAATTATCTCTCAATTTAATATTAATTAAAAAAAAAAAAAAAAAGAAATTGCATAAAATTATATTTTGATAGATTCTAGAGAAAATGAAATATAAAAAACTAAGCGATGGAATTGTAAAATTAAAATATTATGAACAAACAAAGAGCTATTACATTCTTCAATCAGTTTCAAATACAATGTATCTACAAAGAAAATTCATTTTTTAATCTATGAAATAGTTTATACTGAGGTTTTTTAGTGAGATATAACCTATATCACTTACATAATATAGCTACCGTCACTGGTACATCTTTTTCGAACTTATTATTGCTGTATATGTTATTTTTTGTAGGACCTTAAAGGGTAACCCCGTTTATTTTAAACATAGATAAATACATACATACAAATAAAGGTACATATATCTAAATCGAATAAACAAAAACACAAGCTACATTAAAAAATAGATAAATAAATAAATAAATAGATAAATGAATAATAAATAAATAAATAAATAAAAGAGGTCTTTTCTTAATGTTAAATCTCCCTTAACTTTTCTTTAAATAGTTTTGTAGCATGTAGTCTAATAAATGAAAACTGATTCTAGTCATATTTTATTTAAAAATAATTAATACATAATCAATAACACAATGTCAACACTCGCAAACTAATTATGAAATGAAGAATTGAAAATAGATTTCAGACTTTTCCAATGTTTGTCAAAAATATTTACGTTGTTAATTATTTTTGTGTTTCTCTATTAATTTGGTATTGGTTCTTAATATAATGCTTACCAACCTCTAAAGACGGTTATTTATAATTCATTTTACAATAATATATGTACTTCTTTACAAATAAAAGCATTTTTTTCATAAACTGCATTTTGTTGGCTGCACTTAATCAATTTAAAAAGCTTCATTTCCATATTGGGAAAGAGGGTCGTGCTTTTCCTATAAAATCAAATTTGATTTGATTTGATTGGATTGGAAAAAACACGACCCTCTATTGTGAAACTGTCATGGCCTCTTGAAACAAAGTGCCTTGAGTGATTTTTATTGCTTTTTTATTGTTATTTATAAACGTTCATTTTCATATATGTAAATGGTATTTTTATAGCAGGTATCAAATTACACAAAGTAGGAAAATATCTGTTTCTATGGACTGCTTTTATCTGAACTAATTAGGAACTTAAAACTCTCATGAATGAACGGTTTTAGATTAAGCGGGATGTGAGATTATTTACTGGTTCTAGACGTTATGCAAATATTAATATGACATACGTGTATCTCAGATAAAATCAACATAAAGTCATGGACATGAAATAACAGCGGTGACATCATTTTTTTTACATAGAGGAAAGAAAATATATAGTGGTGGTCAACCAATTACCCGCAAGCGTCTGTCAAAACATTTGACTGATTTGATGACAAAATACAAAAGTGAAGCTTAAATATGACGTCTGCCTTGTGCTCAAGGGTGATTGTAAAACACCGGCATTGCCTAAGGTTGTGATTTGTTATTTATTTTGATATGTGGTACATTTAAATAAAAAAGGAAGCAAAATAATTGCACAAAAACATATTGTCATATGTTTTCGCGGTATATCTCTGCGCTATTATGCTAACAGGGCAGCACGAAATACCCAAATACACCCAAATATACCCAAATATTGCCCAAATATACCCAAATATTGTCTAAATATACCCAAATATTGTCCAATTATACTAAAAATAAATGTTTTATACTAAAAAAGTGCTGTTTTAATCATGAATACAATATAAACTTTCACTAAGATATAATCAAACATACCCAAATATACATTTTCCTATCATTGTGTTTTGAACCAAGATACAGTATATGTACTCCATTAAAGCTTTTTTAATAACATGGACTTCTTCCTCTATTATGATATGAAATTTCAACAAAATTACTCCTTAAAAATGTAAGTGTAGACAACAAATATCATATCTTGAATTAAAATTGCATTCATAAAGAAGCGATATTGTAGATAAGCAAATGTCACAACTTTATTTTCTTACAACATCTTAACTGCCCATTTCAACGGAATGAATGAAAGTTATAGCAGGCTTAGTCATGTCATTTTATAAATATTTATTTATTTCTCATTATAATCTATATTTTATACAAACAAAAATAAATTTTGCTTTATTTGGGTATATTTGGGTGTATTTGGGTATTTCGTGCCGCCGATGCTAACACTCGCGAGTTTTACCGACTTGAAACATATTCTTTCTCATTGATTGCACAATATTAAAAACAAGTAGCAGTAAATGATTGGTGACTTGACTGAACATCTGTCCTAAGATTTATCAGTGTGGTGCCTGTCACATCTTTTTGTAGCCTATTCATTCAATAGGTACAAGTCAACCCGGCCCCAAGTCAGCCCGGCCCCAAATTGGTCAACCCGGCCCCAAACCAATGTTATTTCTGGTCAACCCGGCCCCATTTTTTTATTATTTATTTTGCTTTAGAATGTAAACACTTATCAAGAAATGATAGAATACACTTATCAAGAAATGATAGAAATACGCTAGAAGTATTTAGAAAAAATTAAACATTGTTATTGACATTTCATGGAAAAGAAACTTAAATGTGTTCAAGCATTATTATGTTATTGTATGTAAAAAAAAAAAGAAATGACCAAAAGCACACTAAAGTGTTTCCATGAACAGTTTTTAAGTAAGATTAATTATAGAGATGCTGCCATCTATCGCAGGTCACTGCCTCATGTCTGTCACGCACAATATATCAACAATCAATACAGTTATCAGTCATGATGACATAAAGTGATTTAACAGAAAATGATGATAATACTTGAAATTACCCTATATCGCGTTTTTTCATGTTTAAACATGGCCTGTCATATAAATTTGAAGAAAAATTGTTGTTTTGTAGATTTTTTTATTTTTTTTCATTAACCCATTACTTCATGAGCATTTTGTGAAAAATGGCTGTTTTCATTGAAAAGTCTCCCGTTACAAGTTCAAATTGCTATAATACTATAAAAACTGCTTCAACACTAATCAAACTTGGCACAAATGTTGACTGGACCATTGCCCTTGCAACAACATGATCAGGCTTAAATTTTCTGTTACCATGGCAACGAGGGGACATCTCAAAATTGCCAAAAATCACTATTTTGCGTTGATTTTTTCCATCAAAATTGATTTCAAAGTGCTGCAACTTCTCAATGGATTGAGATAGAGTCAAATGCTTTTCAACGTTGGTTACATGTTACCTTATGATCAATCTGGGGTCATTTACAGCCTCTCACAAGTCCAAAATTTTCTTGGCGATGAGGGGGACTCCGCCCCCCTTCAAACCCCCCCCAAACAGAAGGGGGCACATCCCCCTTCTGGCAACCCCCTGATGTATCTTTTGGTTGGGGGCCGCGCCGAAAAAGAGGTCACTTTTTTTAACAACATTTCTCAAACAAAAACAAGTGTTGGGGGCCTAAATAAGGCATTTTTCATCATTTGAGACAACAAAAAAAGGGGGGGGGTGAAAAAGGCGTTAAAAGGCGTGTATATGAAATAATGGGTTAACACAAAACACTATTAATTTTTCAAACACTTAGTAATATTCCAATAATTTTTTACACAGTAAACATTCTTTGAAAATAATTTAATAAAAAACGAAACAAATATTAATTATACTGATGAACATATTCAATAGAACATTCAAATGAACTGAAAAAAAGATTGTTGGAAACTTAATTTATACAAACCTTTTAACTCGAAATTCAATGCATTTCTTCCTAATTAATTAACACTCACGAAACTATCTTTAATTTACATCGAATAAAGACATGAAAGATACTACTAACTTATTTATACATTTTTAAACTGTTTGATTATCACATCTGAAATAATGTTGATGTTGTATAATTATTCATTATCACTATTGCCTATTAAACTGTAAAAGTCTTAATCGGCACAATTAAATTTACTGACATTTTTATGCCAGTTCATGTTGTTTTTTTACTATTGTTCTTTAGTTAATAATATTCAATTAATAATAAACCATTTTTATTCCATCATACTGCAGTACAACAAAATGACCTGAATAGTTTTCTTTGAAAATATATATTTTGGGGCCGGAATGACCAATTTTGGGGCTGCACTGACCAATTTTGGGGCCGCATTGACCAAATAAAAACACTGTGGGGCAGGATTGACCAATTTTTGGGCAGTGTTGACCAATTTTGAGGCCGGGTTGACTTGGGGCCGGGTTGACTGTAATTCCATTCAATCATTGGAGAAAGAAGTTGACAATACTAATTACTATCCAAGGCAAATAAAAATGACTATTGTTAGCGCCACCCATTAGTACTTGAGATGACTTGACTTTAACCTGCTGTGTGCCTTTTCCACAACGTGCACGCCTCAAGAGTGATTTGTTGAAGATCATAAAAAATAAATATTTAAATTGCTGTAATGACAACTCCTTAAAATGTTCTTTTTTTTTTCAGGATTTTAAAAAAAGACATCTATAGGACATTTTTTAAAACTATATCCGTACGATATGAAAAGACTTGTAAAATAGAACTTGGCATCTTAAGGTTATAGAAATGAAAATTTCAACCATTTTAAATTATTCATGAAATTGATAATGTTAACATGAACATTTTCTTTAATTTTGCTGGAAAAAGTGGAACAAGGGACACGAGCTTATCCTAAAAAAACCATACATGTTGCGTTTTGTGTTAGGGCTACTTTCCTCATTCTTCTTATTAAAGTTTCTCAAACTTTTTAAATAAAAAGTGAAAGTATGATAAGTTATGTAAACTTATGTAAAAAAAAGTGGTTAACAACAAACTTTCAGACATGAAAATCCTTCAAATATTGCCTAATTTTAACTTCTTTAAAATTGGCAATTCATTTTTCTTTCCAGATTTTTTTGATATTTTTTTTTCCAAAAAAACAACAACATGCTTTATATGAACCTAAATAGGCCTGAATAACAATTATATTATAACCAGTATCATTAGTCTATCAGTATAAATAAAGGGAGATAACTTGTATCATTTCAGGTGTTTATATTCAACAGACCCACAGGACACAGTTGGCCCTCCAACCAAAGCATGGCGATATGTTCTCAACAAATTCACCAATTTTGTGACCAAATATGAAAATAAATTAGAAAATAAATCCCCGAAGGCTTTCAAAGTTTACAAGACCATGAAAAGTAAGAACACTATGGATGAGTTTTTGAGATACTTTTCTGCTGCACATCATGATATGAAAATGTAATTGGCATAATTTTGTTTCATTTTTTCAAACTTTGAGCTATTGCTACAGTCATGTTGTCTGTTCCAATTGCAGCCCATAAAACTTAAACATTTGTCTTTTTTTTGGTTACATTTCTTTATTTGTACAAGAAATAGATGTTTTTTAGGAGCATTCTTACTATGATATTCTTTCTCTAATGTGTATGATGTTAGAAATAAGAAAAACTTGAGCTTTGCCCTAGCTAAGAGGTGGCTCTTGTTGTAAGCAAATAACTTTCAAGTTTGGGGTTTTGTTTGGTCATACTTTAACTTCAGTAGTCAGTTCAAAGTTTACATCTACAGTTATAATTAATGGAATGTTAAACATAAAGTTTTATACTCTTTTGTAACATTTTGAGGTACATATATCATTAGTAATGGATAGGAAAATAGATAAAAAATTGAATAATCTGTCTTTTATTGTCTAGGTGTGAGATACGTTACTTCAGATATGAAAGACTATGTGTCAGTTTCTAAAGATATGTGGTCTGGGAGAGAACTTCATACATTCTCAAGAAGAGAACTTGAAATATACCAAGAGGTTTGCGCATATTTTTAGTATTCTAGGCCCAAGGTAATAAAGAATTTTTCTGGGCTCAAAACTCAGGTCTTAAGTGTTTACATGTATTTGATTGGCCAGAAACCAGCACAGAATAAATATTGTCCAATGAAAATCTTAAAATTCAAAACAGAACTCAGAAAAAAAGTTTTATCTTGAGGCCAAGGTGCATTTGATCAATGTAAAAAATTGATTCATTTTAATTATTTATTAAACTACATGTAGGCTTGCTGCTTGTTTAATGTCAGAAATTCTAACACAGTTTCACACAGCAACAAAAAAAGTTTTTTTTATGAATTTTTTTTTTATTTTTCCCCAAGAAACCATGTATGTATGTCAGTATGTGTAACTCACTTGTTTATCCCATAAAAAATGATACAGTATTAAAAAAAGTAATGAAAGAATGAAGAAAATGCCTCCTGAACTGGTCTTTAATATTGGTTTTCCACCCCACTAAGATCACAAAAAGTACTTTAATATGGATATGCTACATGTATCATTTAATACCTTGTTGTCATATACAAAAGTGTTATAAATCATGCTGAAACTTGGCTGAAAAGTTCCAAGCATGTAGCAACTCTTTCAAAGTTGGTCAACGAATTCTGGTTGCCATGGTAACCGAAAGAAAATGCTTCAAAAATCTCCTCCTCACTAACCACAAGGACTAGAGCTTAGATATTTGGCACCAAACATTTTTGAATGAACCTCTACCTAGATAGTTCAAAATCCAGACATACAATTTAACAATGTTATGTGCACTTCATTTTTTCAGTTTCCTAAGGACATTACAAAGATTGTGACATTGCTTTTCCTGGCTGCTATTCCATTTATTGGCAATGGTTTCATAGTTATTGGGTAAGTTTATTTGCTGTTTATCAAATTTATGTTAGTATAATACACAAAAACAGTGTGATGCGATACAGTTATATACATGTATTTGGATAGCAGATTTTAAGGTAAACACAAACTATGACTAGATTATATAATTTGATAAGAAAGATGGGTCAATTCCATTTTGGCTGGAAACTTTCAATGCTCTTCAGAAGTTTCATTCATGAAGAGATTTTATGCTTGACATTACATAGTAAGGGTCATCTGTCTAAATATATGGTATATTGGATATCACAGTGTCCAATACAGGAAATAATTATATTGGACTGTCATGTGATACAGTTCAGAAGCAGATGTAAGTACATGTAATTGATAAAGAATAAAGATCTACCATTATATGATATGACAATTCCTTTAAAGCGGCATTCAGCTTTTCTGAAGGTTAAATATGTTGTTTTTAGATAAATCGTTTCATATACAAATATAATTGTCAAATAAAAAAATTATGGTGTAAAATGAAATCATTTGTAGCTGAAATACATAAACAATAAGTAAACCCCTCGATACCTCTATTCTAATTTACCAGTGCACTCTTTATATGTACGACAATTCATTTCCTTATCTTCTATTTTTAGAAATGAATGCCACTGTGTGCTATAAATAGCTTTAGGGGCCCTGTTTTGAATAAGGCTTAACAAAGATATGATGTACTTTTCTAGGTAATATTGCTGAAATACTTAGTTTGAAACAGCACAGAATTGTTTTTTTCCAAAAAAAAATAAAAGCTGAAGATCACTTTAAGGTCCTTTAAATGAATTGATTCATAATTGATTTCTAGGTATATGTATCCACGACTGTTCTTCACACATCATCTATGGAATGAGGAACAAAAGGTAGAATTTGGGCAGTATTTTCACAAACACAAACTATCCCACTATCATAATTTACTGGAACATTTTGATAAGCAAGTAGAGAGACATACAGATGGACAGACACAAGAACAGTTAAGAATTATACTAGATGAGGTAAATAAGAACTTATGTATAAATGTTTTTTCCTAAATCTCTACAGTTTGTTAAGATCTTAACCCTGAATCTTCTGAATTTGTGTAATGGATTTGCCCAGCTTTGAATTTGAAATAGTCCATTTCAATGTTAAGGGATTTCAATGTCAAAACAAGAAATAAGCTATTAGCATTATAGGGCTTGGTCAAACTGAACATAAGGGAAAGAGTTAGGTATATTCTGCTGTGTTACATCATTCTCTTTTGAGAATTGACTATAGGATTATAAAAACATTATTATTTTACTGTTCATTTATTTTATAAGAATATTTCATTGTAAGTTTTATACCCTTTGAATGTTGCCACTAATGTTTTAATAATTGAATATCAGATATTCATTGATAAATGATTTCAGATTGCATGTTCTAGCCATCCTACTGTAGACGAACTTCTTCAAGTGAAAACACAATTTGAGTCGTTCCCCTTTAGTGTAGATGATGTACCAACAGTTTATTTTGTAAGTGATTTATTTATGCCTTGTTTTGCAACAACGGATGTCTGGTAAATAGGGAAAATTTAGTATGGTTAACAAATAGGGAATTTTGAAAATTTAGCACGTTATTGTGGGTCCTAAGATTCATGGACTGTCTGTATTTGCAAAAAATTGACATTGGAAGTCACATTACATGTATTTAGGTAAAGTAGGAAAACCATTACATTTTGGAATTTACAAGTCCAAATCGGGGAGTAAATGACTCCCAAACTTCCATTAACGGAAGCCGTGATTGAAATTCTAATATTGTGATAAAAAAAGCGTATATAAATATTTGTGGATTGACCTATCCACGAAAACAATGAGAATAAGTGTCCCACTAATGATAATGATTTTGCACATCTGATTTCTGCTCCCTGTTCAAGTTGCATAATTAAAATCAGACTTTGAATTATTTTCATCGTTCAGAAAGTACAAAACATATCTAAATATAACTTTATATAACAGTCGATCAGCCAGCTTGTAAACAAACATATCCAAATTTTCATGCACATTGGTCAGCACTGAATTATTTGTCACTTTTATGCTGGAAGCATCAAACTTACAAATGTATACATAAAGTTTTTATAACTTTTTATAATGTTTGTATTAATCAATTTTGTTTTTATTTCAGAGACATTTAGCATTGGTCTGTAATTTTTCAAAAAGGCGTGCACAGCTAAAACAAGACGGCTTAATATTGTTACATATAGATCGTGCAATGATGAGAGAGGGTATAGAGAATTTGACTGAGTATGAAATGTGTAAGGTATGAAAATACGCTACTTACTTACCTTTATGGTGTACAGTAAAACCTCAACAAAGCAACCCTCTGTGGAGCAATAACCTCTTTATAACAGCCATAGCAGTTGGTCACAAAGTAAGACTTCACAATAGATTTAAAACCTCTCTAAGGCAATACCTTTCATCAACAACCAAAATCATCATGTCCCAAAAGGGTGTTGTTCTGCAGCAGAGGTTCCCTCTTTACAACAACAGTAACAGTTGGTCGCAAAGTAAGACTTCACAATAGATTTAAAACCTCTCGAGAACAAAACCTCTCCTCAACAACCAAAATCTTTATGTCTCAAGGGATGTTGCTTGGTAGAGGTTGCACTGTACTTCCATGGAGATTGTGCAATTTGCAAAAACAAGTTAAGTCTGAATATTGTCAGTACCTGTTTAACATTCATTATAAAAATATTGAAAACTTGGATACGGATTGATTTTTACTGGTGCCTATTGGAAGAATTTCAGAAAAAAATTTTAGGGGTGTTTATAAATTGGTGGGGAGCATGAAATTTGTGTAATGGATTTATCCTGCTTTGAATTGTAAATCAGCTGGTACATGTACGAGGGGTTATCCAAAAGTTTGTGGACTTTCTTTGTTGCGTAAAATATATTTGAGATATTGATTTGAAATTCTAACACTGCTTAGAAGAATAAATAACATTTAAACACAGAAAAATTTATATTTGTAGCTTCTTATATTACAGCAATATTTAATTTTACATAAACACATGTCGGCGACAGCGGCACACTCCAAAAAGTTATTGATGTCAACGTCACAACATTTAACGTACAACTTATGCTTCAATGTTACGCAGTCAATAACCATAACTGCTTCACAAAGTTATGTCCATCACTAAATTTTTTATGCCACTTAAACACTAATTATAGTAAAATTTTATTTTCTCTGTTCGCCTGCTGTTTTTTTTTTAAATGTTTTTGTTAGTGTCATTCCCTAATTACAACAAAATTTTATGATCACACTATTTCTAATTTATGCGTGTCCATCATTTTCCTGTTGTAAACAATATATTGGTCTGGCGTTTTTGGCGATTTCAACAAAAAATAACGGAAATGACATCCATAATTACTTAAATGACATCATAGAAAAATTTTGCAATGTTTAGCGGGTTTTCTATGTTAATTAGTAGTTTTTTAGCAAAAAATATACGATACAAATATGATACGCCGGATGCCGGGTATGTGCTTATTTAAAAGCAATATAAAATCATTACTTATTGGCCCAGTTAACTGTTCGTTTCAAAACCTGTTGATAATATTCTACAATGTATGCTGATAAAATTTCATTACAATACACGTTGACGTTCAAAAGATATTTAAAAAGTCCACAAATTTTTGGATAACCCCTCGTATATAAGATATTTTTCAGGGTTTTGAGATTCAATTATCATTACCCTAAAAAACCTGGTTTTATGACCATGCAAATATTTAATTGCACAATGAATATGCAAAGTTGTTTGAAAATCCTCACCTAAGTGCAGTAACAGGTTAACTCTTATGAAATTATATCACAAGTTAACCTGTTATTGCAACAAGGTGACACTATAAGCTATAATATGCTGTTAGCTGTTTGACCAGGCTGTATTGCAGTATAATTTCTTGTAGTTCACATTTTATATTACATTTTTCAGTCATGTTTGAAGAGGGGTCTGAATCCATATGGTATAACAAGAGAAGAGAGAATAAAGTTTCTACAGATGTGGACAGAGTTGTCACAACAGTTAGATGGTAAATATTTCAATGCAAAAGCCACTCAGGGTTCATGTTTATTGAATACATATCCAATATAAGTCCAATGCAACAGTCCAATGTAAATGTAACAACCTTATGTTAGCTTGAAAGCTCTTCCTTTGAGAAATAGTGTATTTGTTGGGATATTAAAACCCACAGCAATAGCATAGTGTGGTGTCAGAGAGGGGGTGATTTGGGAAGCAGGTGAACGTTAAGCAATGACCAATCTGCCAAAAAAATAATACATTTTGTGTAGAATTTATGAGCCTCATAATTCAAGAAAATCAAACTTGAGAAAAATGTACTAAGATTTTTAGAATAATAAAAAAGTCAAAGTTAAATTAATAATTTACAAGTGATTGATGACTGATTTTGTAGTATGTTTTACCAAATTTCTATGCACTATTTTTGCATATTTTTCCCTTTTTTTGTAGTTTGCATGGATTGTAAGTTGCGTTTGCAGTGTGTAAATCAGTTTCTTTGTTCACATCACAATATTTTACTTTTTAATACCTTTTTCAAAATGTTCATGAAAATTAGGATGAATCTGGAGGCATGTTGCTTTAAATGTTATATAAAATTAATTTTCACGATTTTTTCTTTTACTTTTCAGAGAAGAATGTGTCTTTATTACTACATTGCCCTGTATTTTTAACGTATAATAGTGCTACAAACATTCAGCTTATGAAAGGCAAAAAATATAAGTGGCATCGTAAAAGAGGAGGTTTAAAATTAAGGAAAATATTATCATCTAAAGTAAAGAAAAAAGATGGTGACAAAGTGTAGATTGAAATTTTGTCATTAAAAAAATTTTTGTGAGGACATCTGATGAAATTTCTAGCAGAATGAAAATTGTTTCATAGAATTTATTTGAACCACAAAGGATTTTGAAATTTAATAAAAGAGACACTCTAAGGGGGAAAAATATTTTTTTGTGAGTGTTATCTGCCTTTAATTTTTTTTTTTTGCAAATTCAAGAGCAGATAACTTATAAGAGAGTGTCAACCGACATCTTTTGTTGGCTTAAATGATTTTGTTTTTATACTCTTAGATGATGATCAAGCAAAGTTTAAATAAAATCTCTGCAACAGTTTTCGTTCTGCTTTTATGTCTATATGAAAATTGTAGTGAACTTTTTTAAATAGATAATTGTTATTTGTTAATTATGATAAATGTGAACTTTATGCAATTATTGCAATGTTCTAATATGTGTTATGTTGTTGTTCTTATATTTCATTTTAATTTAATGTTGTTGACAAACCATTTCCACCCTAAATATCTTAAATGAACTTTGTCCATCTTTCAATCAGGACTAAACCATTTATCATTTTTGGGAAAAATTTAAAAATATGTAACAGTATTGACTTACCGGTAATTGGGATGTGGTATAGATCATGATCAGATAACACATATGTGTAAATGATTAAGAATTTAACATTTGAAAATAATTTTAAAAAAAAACAACATTTAGTATGATGAAGAAAAATGTATATACTATATCATTGGGAATAGGCCTTAGCCTCTTGATTTTTGGAAGAATTATCGCTAAAATTGCTGATTTTGGAAGTAAAAAAGCTGGTTTTAGTTTGAATTATTGTAAAAAACTTTTATTGGAAAAGGAAGTTGATAGGCCTCTGTTATATGATGTGATATAGGTCTCTGTTATATGTGAAAAGTCAACAATTCAAACATGGGGGAATGTGGTGAAGATATCCGAATATATTTTTTTTGACAAAAACAGCTGAAAAATGTGTTCATAGGACACTGATGCTCGCACATTCCACCTTTTTCTTCATGGATGTACAGCAGAACAGGGCAAACAGACGAGGGAAAATGTATATGTGGGGGCATAAAACCACCATTTCTTTCATGAACTTTATGCAAATTCCTTTATTTTCAGCCTGTTAACAATATACATTAGATGTACATTGCATTTGTTTATTTTTTACATTATTTTTCTATTGTTTTGTATTTAGATTTTATAAGCAGTGAGAAGTTGTATCATTAACTTGTAACTTGTTTTATTTATCTTTCATCCACTGACTTCCAAGCACTTAAAGTCATGCCTCTCTGTGCTGTGGGTTAGAATCCCAACAGGGACTTTTGATTCTTTCATGTGAGGAAGCAGTCCAGTTAGCTTACAGAATGTCGGTGGTTGTAGTCAGGTGCCCTTTTGTGACTGAAATAATGCACGGAGGGGCACCTGAAGTCTTTCTCCAACAGTACAGTACAGTTGGAATATTGACCATGTGCGATGTAAAATCAAACAAACAAAAATTATGTTCCATTTTGTCTTTAGAAACGTTGCAAGAATTTCAATACATGTATATCAATTTGGAACAGTCCATATAATGCTAGACAAAATACAAAAATTGAGCTGCCAACAGTATAGAGCCTGGGAAACCACTTGTCCAGTTGGCTCAATTGGTAGAGCACTGGACTGTAAATTGTGCGATTCAGGTTTGATTCCCGGACAATGCAGATCACTTTAATTACGATTGATCATGAAATCATATACTAGTATATAATGTGATATACCTGTGTTGTTATAGATATATTTTATCATGATTTTGTAGAAAAAAATTATGCAATGTTCATGCTTTTAAAAAGTATAATAAAACAAAATGTAAAATAACTGCACTTTGTTATACTTGTAAATGTCTGCTGATGAAATGAATGTCAGTAAATATTCTAGCTCATAGAATGCAGGAAATAGTTCCTTTATAATTCCTAAAGTACATGTACTGAAAATTGAAGTATTAACTAGGTAAAAGAGGATATTTAGTTTGAAGTCTCTTTATTATATTTCACAAGCGTTCTTAGGTCTACATGTATTGTAATCTCAGGTTGGAGGAAGATTTGTATTGTTTATGATGCCCATTATTTTTATTCAGCAGTTTCATTCAACTTATCTTAAATGCTATCATTTTCATTTTTGGTGCCAAAAAGTTACTAATTGGCCATATAGCTGAGACATCTTTCGCTTCTTTTGTGTTTTAGCAATTAGTACAGTTATGGTGATTTATTATTTTGTATGTAAGTCAAAATACTAATTTGTTTGCATTTTCTAGCTTAATGGCAAATTATTCCATATTCAGTATTATTTCATACACGTTCTAAAGCCATTATTTCAACATTTTAACCCTTCTGCAGAATGAAAAATTTACTGATTTTTCTCAGGAAAAATGTGCCTTTTTTACTCTGGTCAAGGTCACAATTATAACTACCTGATTAATTACCAAAACATTCTTTGTCCCCTAGTACAGTATTCTATTTCAAGCACAGGTTGAGATTTTGTGGGGTTTCAGTCACGGTGATGAAACTGATTAAGGAAGATCTTTGTTACCACTTTGGAAGGCAGTTACAATATTCCAAGTTCATGCAGGGCTACAAACAAATTTTTACAGTTACACCTTAGAGAATAAGTGAAACGGGTGTTTAGTAATCTATTGTGAACAGCAGTGCTTTATGGGACTTTAATGGTAAGTTTGATTGTGCCGAAAAACTTGCATAAGCAAAGTTCCGGGTAACATGATTGTCCTTTTGTTTATGTCATTTAAAGTAGCTTTCTATCATGAAAGAATACGCTCACCCACTATTTAAAACCCAGTGATGATGGTAAAGATGATGATCAAGTGATTTGAAGTCTGTGACCTTAATCACATGGCAGAAAAGTTCCTCTCCTCGGTCCACAACTGTCAACACCTTATATACAAAGGTCCACGTGAAATAAGCATTTTTTAATTTTCTGGATTTTAACACGGTTATTGGTCCTTAGTTAATACAAATTCATTTTAATTCGATTGTGTTGGATGCTTTAAGCTTATTGAAACACTCTCAAACCTGTGTCCTGGAACTAACCAGTATTAAGCAACAAACGTAAAGTTAATTACTGAAGGAACCACGGCTAGCCCCCAACAGGTTTTGAAGCCACACAGTCAGCAATTCTTAGATTACTAGTCCGAGCAATTAACCACTCGGCCACGAGGCAACTCAACCAGCTTTCCTAGATAACCAACCAGTTATTATCAATTTCTCTACAAGTGACAGACAACTAATCCCATATGGTTTTTAAATCAGCAGTGAGAGACAAAAGACCATGAGACTCAGTAACATATGAGCCATGCCATGACAAAACCAACATAATGGGTTTGCGACCAGCATGGATCCAGACCAGCCTGCGCATCCGCGCAGTCTGATCAGGATCCATGCTGTTCGCTATCAGTTTCTCTACTTGTTATAGGGTTTGTAAGCGAACAGCATGGATCCTGATCAGACTGCGCGGATGCGCAGGCTGGTCTGGATCCATGCTGGTCGCAAACACATTACGTTGGTTTTGTCATTGACGTGGCTCATATGTTCTAGATCAATTGTCTTCACTAGAGGATTTGAACCAGGGACCCCTGGATTTATTATCCAGTGCTCTTCCTACTAAAAACACAAAAGTAAAACCATCATTACTTGTTCATAGCTTTTATTTAGCTCTGGAGTTTGTACATATAAATTACACAGCTAAATGAAACAGTTTGTACAAAGCACACATAGAAATTCTATGGAATTTCAATTTTATAAATGATAAAATATTTAAATGTCCATTCATACATAACCTTTACCTTATACAAGCATCCACTTCAGTCAATTTCTATGTACTAATATATTCTATTTTTAGACTGTAATCGTAAATGCAACCATTCAGAATGCCTGTTTAATATTCAATATCAACTGCTTTATACCTTCTGTAGAAAAATAAAACTTTTGATTGTTAAAGATTTAATCAAAATAAATTCACTTGCAACTCCAAATACTTTTTTATCTTCTGCATTTATCACATTTAACAATTCCGCTTTTTCTACTCGACAAATTTTTACAGGAAAAAAAAACATTTTTACTACTAAAAACAATTTACGAGTAAAGAACAACATAGAAGAAAGTCAAATAATTGTTAATAAAATTTTCTTAAAATCTATACAAAAGTAACGTTAAGTAAAAAACAGGGATTTAAAAAAAAAACAAAAACTTTTGATGGTCTGACTTAAAAAAAAATTTTGCTCGACAACTCTTAACATGTTGTCTACGCGAGGACGAGACAAAACTTGTGATGCAGCATGAAAAAAGCACTTAAATAATGTTTTGGTTTTGATACACAGAAAATGAATATTGCAAATAAAGTGACAAAGATACAGATAGGACAGAAACACATACTCTGGTCATGTGACTACTTTATGTAAGTCATTGAACCTTGACTTTTCTTAGCAAGTTAGCCATGTGACCTTTGCTTTCACAACAAGTTAGTCATGTGACCTCAACTTGCAATATGACATATGTGTAACACATGAATCACATGTGCATTACAAACAACAAATCACATGGTGTTATGTAATACACAATCATATGTGTACATCATAAAAATCACACAGCATTCTATGTTACACATAAATCACATGGGGTGTACATGTTGCACATAATGCACATGGCATATGTGTTACACACAGAAATACATGTGCATTTCACACAACATATCACATGATCTTACATATTACACACAGATCACATAGACTATTGCATTACAAACAAATCACATGTAGTTTAATTTATGAAACAGACACAAGTGTGATTCAGTCTTGTGCAAAAATCCTTCGGTTTTAATTACATACCTAGAGAACAACTCCCAAGATTTTTAAAATTAACAAAAATCACATTATATCTGTCCCCTACATGTGCAAGAAATACTTAATAACAGTACCGTATTTCTTCTAAAATAAGGCCCCCTGCCCAATTTTTCATAAGTTTAAGCCCAAAGTCAACTTCACATTACCTCAAAAATGAAATAATGTAATAACAAACTATCAGCAAAACATAACTATTTTAACTATAACTTATCAAACATTAGATATTCATTTAAACTACAAACTAAGGTTGTTTCTAATTTGACGAAAAGACCCTTAACACTCGTGTTCACTAATCACTATCAAAAATATAAAATCTATAGTATCTAACTATGTTCTTGTCTACATAAGAATTACAGTAAAAGTTTTACCGTAAAGAAATACATGTTCAAATAGAAGCACCCTGTTGGCATTATATAATTTTATAGGGGCTTATATTAGAAGAAATACGGTATGTTACTAAACACAATGCAATACCTCTGGAATACACACAGTCAACTCTTTAAGAACATAAAAATACATATTGGTAGTGATAGTTTACATGAGTTTCATTCACACGACATCTACTACACGCTAATTTTTTTTATTGCATTCATACTAAACTGAAGTGTTATGTACATCTGATATACTTCAATAACAAAATATTTACAGAAATAAAATATTATTTACAAATCTTTTTCTTTTTTTAATATTATCAACTATGACCTATGTACAGTGATACATGAAAAATTTAAAAACGAGAAAAAAAAAGACGAAAAAAAATAGTACATCAACAGAATGTCACCGTGGAAACGCATCACCAAATGACATATAATAAGCACATGGTTTTCGAGATGGAAACATTTTTTAATGTTTTATATAGCAGAGGAATTATTATAATGAAACGGTTATAAAAATTTATAACCTTACACTGATTACCCTGTGTCTACATGGTTTCAATATATTCCACAGCTGAGCCACGTTATGATACTTTACAGTTCATATTTTTTTTTATCAGAGGTTTTATTGTCTAATTAAACATGGTCAAGGACATATGACAACATTATAGCTTAATTGTTGAGATGAATTTCTTTTCCAAGCAAAATTCAACACCCAAGAAGAACAAAAACCTTAATTAAGCTAGTCAGATAGTTGAATATATATTATCATTTTATTTATATATTATCTCGAAGATCTGATCTACTTAAGAACGTTTTAAACAAGAAAACGAAGTATTAGTTATGTAACATCTTAATGCCTAAAGATATATAAAAATGTATTAGATTGTTTAAAAAATATAGCTTTTCACTAGTCGATGAAAAAAAAATTTACAATCCACTTGAGATTTTTGAGAAATTTTTGAGAACTTTAAGAGCTAAAATTCCTCATTTAAAGTTTACCATTATATTACAAAGTAAATCTAAGCATATATTATGTTACAGTTTGTGTACTAATATGATTAAGCACTTACTTACAATAACAAGGGTGAAAGTTAAAATGTTAAAAAAAAATCTTCAAAATTCCATTTCTAGTGATAATTTTTTTCATTTTTGTAGTTTTATTATAGAAAAAAGACAGTTTTTTTTCAGAATTAACGAACAGCCCTGACTTTTTTTACCCATCTAATCTACCATTCTAACAATGTAAATTTTCTGCACAGAGTTTAAGAAATAGTCACATGTGCTTACTAAATGCATCAAGCTTAAAGTTAATAAACTTTATCACAACAAAAATTATAAAGCACATCATATTTATTATACACTAGAAACAGATCATAGATGATGGATAAAACATTTTGGGCTTGGCTTATCAACATGTTCCTTCATTGTCATATAACTTCTATAAAGACTTGGTAATAAAAAAAAATTGACAATAAATAAAAAGAGTTGTGGCCCCTGACCTCTGCAGTTAAAAGAATTGTTAAACAAAACTTGAATACTGAAATGTTTAAACATTGAATAAGCCTGATGGGAAATGTGAATATTCATTATTATAACCTCCTTATTATTCAAGAAAATACAAATTCTAACAGGCATAAAAGCTATGAATTTTAACTTTTTGTTAAAGTTCACTTAAAAAAAGAGGTCAACAACAAAATTCAAACAGGGAATGGGGTACAACAGAAAATGCCCTATTAGTATTAAATGTTGTTTTTTTCTTCAATATCATCATAGCACTATAAAGTAACAGACAACAGTGAAAGCTGTGGCCAGTATGAGATTCATAGAAAAGCAGATTTTAACAATAGTTAATACACATTTTTCCTGGTATTCACAATTTTCCGTGTTGCCTATATTTTTCTGAATGGTGTAATGCAATGTATATAAATCAGCAAACTTTTCACGTAGAACTTTCTATACTTCATTATTTGAAACTTTCGTTAAGTCAAACTAGTACACAATCAGAGAAATTGGTAAATAAATGGAGATATTGGTAAACAAATGAAGAAATTTGTAAACAAATGGAGAAACAGTTTAACAATTAAAGGAACTGGTAGGAAAGATTTACTTCCCTAATTATTATCTCAAATCAATATATAATTTTAAGTTCTTTTTTAACAATTTTCAAAGATGGGAAGTCTCTGACTATACTATCATAAATTAATGATTTTTTTTGTTCATGCCTCATATATTAACATATATGTCATATCCTATGATAGTAGTAGTTTGGTCAAGGACAAACACAAGGACTTAAAAGGCTAATGAAGACTTATTTTTAGTCAATCTCTCCACCAAACAGGATTTCTAATCTGAACCATTCTCTACTCTGAAATTAAGAAATTCATGAACAGAATTTCATGCCTCCATCATTACAACAATGCAAGTTCCGTCCTTCAATGAGTTAAGAACTGAAACATTATACAACCTAACATTAACATACTTTTTATCTTTACTTAAACCATAATTTATACTTGTCCCTTTTACTGTCATTTTCCTTTATGCACCACACAAATTCTCCCTTGAAACAATCCCGTTATCCTGCAGTGACTTTCCAGGTTACAGATGAAGCCGGAACGTTGACCCATCTCTTAAAACGGCCTTCGGGGGGAAAGTAAAAACGTTCTGTTTCTAGGCAGCCGGAACGTTGACCCATCTCTTAAAACGGCCTTCGGGGAAAGTAAAAACATTCTGTTTCTAGGCGGCTGTCACACTTGGACTGGTTTAAATAATAACCAGCGTTAGTATCACATAAGATTTTAACACACTCTTTACATAAATGTTTTATATCTACTAGGACGTACTCGTTGACGACGCAGGTAGAAACGATGACACAGATGACACTGGTTTCATGTTCTCTAACTCCGTAATCTGCTGTGCCAGGAACAAGTTCCTACAATAACAAAATATACAAATGAATTAATCTGTGTCATAAGAAAGAACAAATAGATGATATTGAATGAGTGCAAGTTCAATACTGAATTTATTGAACGAGTTGAATAAAATTATATTATAATGCGAGCACCTGGCAAGCAAAATATTATTTTATTCAACGAGTTCAATAAATTTAGTATTGTCCCTACACAAATATAATATTTCATTTATCAAATAACAAAAATAAAGACTGTTTAAAGTGCAAAAGAACAATTTTTCATTTCATTTTCCGAATCTTTTATCTATCTCGAAATAATATCTCTAATAATATAAGTAACAGCTCAGCATGTAGGTAATCTGGATGGAAGATAGCGTGAGCCATTATTTGTATTCTGTTTTAAACAACATTAATATCAAGCTGTACCTACCTTTGCTCGTGTAACGTAGCTTGTATCTCTTCTACCCGCACCAATGACCTGGCCCGCTTTAATTCTACAGATACCTGACTGCTAATTAAACTACCAATTTTAAGAGCCTCATCCCGATAAAAGCGAGACTGAAAAACAAATACAAATTTCTTATTTTTCTTTATAGTTATCAACTGAAAACAGTTGTTTTTAGAGTTTTATTACATTTATGATTCTAGACACTCCTGCTAATTTTCACAATTTTTTTTACACAGTAGAAATATGGTGATATATTCCACAAAATCAGTCATTAATTGCATATCACATGTAAAAAGTTTCTTCAATTGTGAATATTTTTACTTTTCTTAAAATCTAAAAACATTTTCCCCAAGGTTGATTTTCTTGTAAATTTTTGGCTTATCTGGAGGCACGCAGCTTTAATGAGAGGAATCTTCTTTACCTCAAGATGTGACTATACGTGAAATGGAATACACATCTACTTAAGAATAATACGTAAAACTACGTAAATCATTAATCTAACTGATTTCCATAATGTACTTGCCCAGTTTTCATTTTTGAAACTGTCCATTATCAAATTTAGAGATATGAAGATGAAAAGTTGACATTGGTAAGCCAACAGTATACAAAGGTCTATACTGGTAGCAAAAGCTAATCACTACCAACACAGTATAGGTCATATGGAAACTTTCCAGCTTTACTGGTAAAAGGAGGCCCCAATTGCCTCAGAAAACAGATTTTAGGGATTGACAGGCATAATGACTGACAGAGTGCACATCTTTTAACATCTTGGTTGTAACCAGAATATAACATTTTTAAAAGCAGCATTCTTAAACTAATGAGTAGATAACTCTTGTAATAAAGATGCTAGACTTACTTGTTTTTCAAACAATTCTCCTTGCCAGCCAGTCACATGTGACACCGAGTTCTCATTGTAATACTGTCTTAAAGATGACATCAGGTTGGTATCTTTCTGGCCCAAGCTAGACGAGAACATATCCGGGTCCACTGGGGCACCCTGGGAACTGGTATCACTCGGGGCAGGGCTACAACTATAAAGTTACATAATACTTGATTATAAGTTTTATTTATTAATAATGCTTTAAAATATTCACCAATCCCTAAAGCTTAAGTTTATTAACTGACAATTTAATTTCCAATTTGAAAAATTAATTCTACACATTTTATTATTTGAAATTCACATTATAAAGGAAAAATACAAGTACATTATTAAATTGAACATAATTTGATTAATTTAAATCAGCATATGGATTATTTACAATCATACTATCACCTATTATCTATGATTCAACTTAAATGAAAGATTTTAACAACAGCTGTCGTAAGGACAGTGTACTCAACTATTCTCAGTGCTTGATTGCAAAACAAGAGCCTGAATAATGTAGAATTTTCTAACTTCAAGAAGGGCCATAATTCTGTCAAAATCCATGTTAGAGTTATGGGCCTTGGAAAGTGACCTCTATTATGCTCTCAAATAAGTGTGTGAAGTTTCAACCAATTCCCTTCAATAGTTTTGGAGTAACCAACTTGTATGCAAAATCTTTACCAAAGTATGACGCAGACACTTCATTGAGTTCACTAGCTCTCTCTATTCTCAAAACAGTCAAGCTAAAAACAAACAAAGATACATTAGAAGCACTTACCATGAACGATCACTCCCACCTCCTTCAACTCCTTTTGAATTCTCCCCCAGCATCTCCTCCATGTTCTGGAAAGACGGGGTCGAATTATTTTGAGAACCTAAAAACTTCCCATATACAGTATTACCCCTGTGTACTTGATTCCCAGTATGAGTTATTGGTATTGACGTCGAGCCTGCAGTCGTTGCCACCGGTGATGCCGACGTCGCTAAGGAAACTACAGGCTGAGGACTTGAATTGGGATGGGATATACTATTATTAGAGTTCATATATGGACTCCTATGAGGAGGGTGAGACGGGGTGGCAGGTGCTTGTAGGACAGCATGAAGAGACTGCTGGGCATGATGTTGAAGCTGCTGGTGATGTTGAAGTTGTTGCTGGTAGGACGCAAGTGCTTCCTCCGGTAACTGATTTACATGATGCCGCGGTGATGCTTGAACAGTCGTAGACTGACTTGACTGGTTTGCTGAAAATATCAAAACAAAGTTGACAAAATACAGGAAATTGTCACTAAACTCGATAATCCTTCAATATTATGTGATTAAAAAAAAAAAAAAAAAAACAGTTTTCTAATAACCCAGGTTTTTCCATGAAAACTTGGTTTTTAATACATTTTCAAGATGGCAAACCTTACACATCAGTGCTGATAAAATTCTTGTCAAAGGAAACAATTTTAAGCAGACAGCAATTTCTAATTTCTTGTTTCATGCACAGTTGGTAGTAAATTATAGCTTTTGAGTTCTGAAATCCAAATATAAGACGTAACAAAATTGATAAATCAAACTTTGATCCCAGACTACAAATTATCATAATTGTCATTGCCAATTTATCTACAGAAAATTATTATTCTTTCCCTTTTGTTGTTCTGTTGTTGGAATCTAGCTTTATATTGTGTTAGTTCAAAAGATTTGGTTACTTTTTATCTTCTCTAGTTGGGTTTAGGTCACACTGACATGGTAACTGTCATATTGTGTGACTTTTAAGCTTTACTGAAGGAGAAAAAACCTAAGATGCCTCTGTGTCTTGGTGCATCAGTCTAGGCACCACAGGTACCAGTGTAGAACCTTCCAACCTTTCATAACCTAGTTGGATAGCTTCGTCACATGAAAAAATCTAAAGTCGTTATTGGGATTCCAACCCACAGCAACACTTGACTTTTAAGACACAAGAATAAGAAATACTTACACACACTGGTTTGGTGTGCGGCTATCTGCCGCGACAATGCTTGCTGCAGTTTCTGTAAAGTCTGCAGAGCTGAAATTATGAAAACAGGCAAAGATAAATCCTGTATGTTATCTAAAGACAATGTTAAATTTATTAAGATACATTTTTTATCTACAGCTTTGCCAGACACCTTAATCACAACGAGAAACAATCTTATTCATTAAAATCTAGGAAGCATTTTAGATGTATTTAATTCAACTTTTTTTTTATCACCAACAGCCAATTAGTTCAACCATCCAGACCAACTCTAGCTATATATCAGTTCATTGGCCTTGCAGGTTGTTTTACAAAGATGTTGTTTAAAAGTTGAAACAGAGAACAGTGTGCTAAAATGTATAAAAGTATAAACAATGTATATTGTGAATGAACAACAGCAACCTGTGCAGGGCCTCAACTATACACAATCAGGGTTCCCACAAAGAAGAGAAATCAAAATTCCCTGACTTTTCCATGACTTTTCCCTGACCAAAACCATTTTTCCCTGACCAATAACAGTGTCAAGTCTGCACAATCTTAGAGCATTAAATGTATTTTTTATACATGTATTTCGACCTCCTCCTCCCCAAAAAGCCAACCTATTTTCTCCAATTCTTTATTTTAAATTATTCAAGATAAAAAATGCATGAATATTAGTGAGCAATTGTCATAAGCAACTTGTCTTATTTACTTTCAACAAGTATGAGTAAATTTATCCAAAATGTAAAGTATTTGATAGTACATGTTATGCTGAAAGATGGTTCATTCTCTTACAAATGCAAAGCAGTGTAATCAATGCAGGATTGACTAAAACAGGCCTGTATTTTAATAAAATATATGATAGTTATCAATGGAAAACTGGTGTTGGACAAGAAACAATAAGACAGGTAATGAAGTGGCTACATTAAAAGCAAAATGCAGTAAAAGCTTGTAATACTACTAATAAAACTAGCTATGGCAGTTAGTATTTCAAAGTTATGGTTTAATGCATGTGTGCAAAAACACAACATGGCACTAAAATTATTGGTACTTAATCGAAGTCCACTAAGTGTTTTTCTCAAGTTTCTCAATATCTTTACTTGATTCTTTTATTACTTTTCTTTGACCTTGACCCTGAAGGCATTGCACTTGGCATTTTACTTCACAAGCAAGTTCATTTTCATATTTTTCAGCCTCCTGAGCAGATTATCAGCCTCTTTCACACGAACAAACCATAAATAACTCAGGAGACAAGGGATGCTTAAACTCCTTTTAGCTTCTTTCTTAATAAGATAGTTACTAATAATGACAAAAATATCCAGAATCTTCAGGCAGAAGCATAATCATTTTAAGAGTAAAATAATATAAAAATAAAACAGATGCTCATAATCAAAAATAACAATAAAGATACCCAAAATGATGGAAGAAACTGCCTTAGCTTTTACTGATTTTGCTTCTTGCTGTTTCACAAAAACATTATTTTCTACACAATTCCCTGACTTTTCCCTGACTTTTGCTTATTTTTCAAATTTCCCTGACCAATTTCAAAATTCCCTGACTTTTCCCTGACCTTGAAAAAAAATCATTTTTCCCTGACTTTTCCCTGACCGTGGGAACCCTGACAATGCCATTTCGTATTACCATTTATGAAAATAGAGTTTCTATCTAAAATGATAAGTTCTTTCATATTCCTTTTAATACTTTCATTTTTGAGTTTGAGTTGAAATTTTTCTACAAATTGTTTAACTCCCCCTACTTTGGGAATGGTGCTGGTACCGAACAAATTGTGGAAAATGCATCGTTAGACTAAAATTGGGAATTTTACATAATACACCCCCAAGTATTTATTTTTTTAATTCAGGGAGACATTACTGTTTTGTTAACCTTTTAATTTATCAATCTTGGAGGGGATTTTTTTAAAGTAATTCTGGGAATTTAAGTCAGAGCTTGGGAAATTCTGTCTATTTATTATTGGGTACGGTGCCATTTTCCGGTATAATTTATATAAGGGAAAAAACGCTGTACTAGCCATATTGCAAAATAATTTCAACCAACTTTATATTAAAATATGTTCATTATTGGTTACAGTTGCCATAATGGCCATTAGATGAAAATTATTTCAGGTGCTTGCTGGCACTTGAGTAAAACCAACGCAAGTTGCAGGACAGCTGCCTCAAGGTTCAAACCCACAGCAGTGTGGGGCAAACAATTTGAAGTAAACAACCTAAACCACTTGGCAAAGGAGTTATTTCAGACAGTATATGCATCAACCAGTTAGCTTGCTGGGTAACTTCCATCACAAGGAAGAATAAAAAATTTTCAGGTGGGATATGAACCCAGCCACAAGTGGCAAGTGGTTCGAAGTGAACAACTTTTAACCTCAGCCCAGGCACTGAACATAATATATTATATGTTGACAATTTTCAATAAAAGTGCCGAGCCAACACCTAGTAGAATTTGTAATATAAGACTTAAGTTTGAGGCCCTGCACTCAAGTGTGTCACATGTTTTTAACAACTAAGAACTGTGACTACCTCGATTGGTCAGTTCCTGATTGTTCTGTCCACCACTTAACTGAGTAATGAGGTTAGGAATATTTGAAATGTTTAAATTAGCCGCAGAAATGTTAGAGACTGGATTCATACATCCATGAGGCGTGCTTCCTGACCGGTGACTGGTTGGTGTACTACTGGGAGAGTCTATGTCGTCTTGGTCTGAAAATATAAACAAAATTTGACGTAAGTTAAGTACTTCATTTAGTATTGAATCATTTCTATGATAATTTATTGCAATTCTGCTGAAACAGGTCAGTGATTTTCCTACCTATATAACAGACTCCGATAAAGGGCCTCTTCCTAATTGAAATTTTCTTTAAAATCATGCAGTTTTCCCAAAAATCTGAACTTAAACCTGCTTTTTACTTCCCAAATTAGCAATTTTAGCGATAATTTTTCCCCAAATCAAGTGGCTACTTAAGGCCTCTTCCCAATTAAGTGAGAAAAATCACTGCAGGTAAATTTACAAGTTAGATGATAGTATAAAATGATGTACACCATCATTTCATATATCAGGTTATTTTTGGTATAGCTAATTTCGTGATTTTGGCCGTAATCTAATTTTAGTGATTTTGCTGTACTTGTCATTTTTTCTGCGTGAAACCAGGAATTGATGGAAAATTTAAAAAATAGTTTTTAGGGATATTCATTGCACACCAAAATTGTGAAAATTAGATTCTTGCGAAAAAACCTGATATGTAGTATTTTCACTAAAACATCAAAATAAGTACTGTAACTTACAAATTACACTATAGACATCTAAATTTAGTAGTCTAGTTAGAATTATCCCCTTGAAAATGCTACAATTTAATGATCTGCCATACAGGTCATGTTCTTAAGTGGCCTTTCAATCAGTGCCTAGCTTTCACTTCCTTGGAATCCTATTGGCAACCAAAGAACTGAACTTAAATCAAATTGCTAAATTTAGCCATGTAAGCTGTATTAACATTTGTCTATAGTTCTAGGCATCAACAAAGGTCTTAATGACAGTTTCCAAATCTATTTTTAGTTGTGGCAGTAACTGAAAGTGCTAAACCCACAGATAATTGAATATTGTATATAAATGGGGGCATATAAATGGTTTTCAACTGCAGTAGGATTAAGGTGGCAAATTTTAGATAAGCTGATAGAAACATAATGATAATCTTGTTAATTAATTTCATATAAGTGCGAAAACCTGTGTTATTTTATCTTTTGATGACATTTTTTCCACATAAGGTTTGGGACAGTAGTTGTCAAATAAGCATAGCCAATTTATCTCAACAATTTACAAACACAGAGGAAGTCAATTTAACAATGCCCTAGAACAAGTTTGGACACAATCCATCTCTTAGTGTTAAAATGAAAGGTTTTCATGTTTTAAACTCTTTAGTATTGGTAAATTCATGAGCAAAATTAAACATCAACCAAGCAGAGGACATCTACCAATTTGTTTACTTAGCTGAAAAAGTATAAAGGTTGAATATTTTATTTTTTTCTTGTAGAAGGGCCTGATGGTCCAGTATTGCATAATATTTTGGGTGTTTTTGTTCTAGAAGGGTGTGGGCGTGCTTCATGCTGACAATATATATTTCCAATTGCAATTTTCCATCTTTATTGAAGGAAAACCTCAATCCAGGAGGCACCTCAATAGAATCTCTTGACATTTCAGATACATACAAGGATCGAACATACAGAGGTTTGCGACAATTGATTCTAAGTCTGAGAATCTGGACAATTGCACCTCGGCCACAGTGGGCCCTCATATCTGCTATATAAGGGTCATGAATTTCTTATCAGTTTAAAATTTTACCCAAAACTCAAAACAAAATTCTGACACCTTTGACCCATTTCTTTCAACTTGTGCCTTGAAAGGAATTGAAAATGTTGCAGGCTCGGTTTGACTGAGCCTGTTCGTGGACAGTAGTGGTAAATCATAAATGCAAAGCAATGTCCACATCCCCTAAAGCTGGCTTAAAAACAATTCAACACTTAAACATGAAAATAGCAAAGTTTTGAATCAAGAAACATATGCAGATGTTCATAGAGTGGTTGTTATCATGGAACATTCCATGTCACTTGTGGCATGTTTCCATTTTTCACCATTTAAATAACACGGATGGTGACTATGATTAAATTACGTTTTACATTTGCCGCAACAGTAGCCTCTATAGAGTCATTAAAGTTTTACCATAGTGGGGCTGTATGACCTAGCAGGGCCTTTTCACTAGTTTTGGGGAAGGCGCCCTAGCCCTTTTTGTGGGGAAAAAATGTGCGGTTTTCATACTTTTGGGGAAAATGTATTTTCCACAGGCAGTCGGTGTGTGGTTCTATAACCAGATATATTATATATTAAATACTTATTTAAATCACACATTTGGGGGAAATATCATAATATATTTGCATATTTTCTTCCAAACACACTTAAGGAGCTTTCTGTCCAACATAAGTTAACATAGTAAAAGGGATTTTTTTCCAGATCATTTTATTGCCACTTTATATTTGCCCAAGAGTACATTGACTCATATTTTCCTAATTATAGAAAATTTACGTAGGACATGTGAGGGTTCTTGATTTGATTCAGAGGGAACATTATAATCAGTTACCACTGTATCACTATTACTGGCACTGTTGTGCTAGGCTCACTATTTCCCAAGTGTAAAACATTTCCCACACTTGGCCATGTTGTGCTTCTCGGGCACACAAACTCACAATGGGATACATGTATTGGATTCTCTTGCACTTACCGGAAGGTCAAATATTCGTCAAATTTTAGAAAACAATTACAAACATCACTCAATTGTATTTTCTTCTTGTTCTGTGACATTGTTTACATTTGCGACATCGTAAATTGGTCGCCGTATTGTTGTAAACAAGAGAGATCAGTGATCACATGTGTCGCCTCATGATGGCCAAGTTTTGTGACAGACGGATAGACAGACGGACAGTGCACAACTAGACTTGGTACTGATCATTCCTGTAAAGTTTGGATAAAATTGCACCAGTAGTTTATGAGGAGAAGTTCGGACAAGCTTTTGTGTATCTGGCAACACACAGAAAAAAACACCTTTTTAAAGTTTCACTGAAACTGCATTAGTCGTATAAGAGAAGTAGTCCGGACAAACTTTAAAAATAAAAATTATTAAAGGTCCATAACTCTGACAAAAATCATTGAACTGGAAAATTCTGACAATATGCACAACTAGACTTGGTACTGATCATTCCTGTAAAGTTTGGATGAAATTGCACCAATAGTTTATGAGGAGTAGTCCGGACAAGCTTTTGTGTATCTGGCAACACACAGAAAAAAACACCTTTTTATCAAAGGGCCATAACTCGGCCAAAAATCATTCAACTGGAAAACCCGTGCAATATGCGCAAGGACTTGAGCTACAGATCAATCCTGTAAAGTTTCACTGAAATTGCATTAGTGGTATAAGAGAAGTAGTTCGGACAAACTTTAAGAATAAAAATTATTAAAGGGCCATAACTCTTACAAAAATCATTGAACTGGAAAATGCTGACAATATGCACAACTAGACTTGGTACTGATCATTCCTGTAAATTTGGATGAAATTGCACCAGTAGTTTATTAGGAGTAGTCCGGACAAGTTTTGTGACGGACTGACTGACAGACAGACTACGGAGAAGTGATCCCTATATGTCGCCACTACTTAGTAGAGGCGACACAAAAATCACGTGTGCAATAAACAAGAGGGCCATGATGGCCCTGAAGTCGCTCACCTGTATATAGGCCCCACGGAGCGGGTCCAGTTTAAACTCCAGGGCTTTTATTTGAACAAACTTGGTAGACACCCATTAGAAGATGTTTCATGCTAAACATCTAAGGTCTAGCTCGTTGGGTTTTTAAAAAGAAGATTTTTAAGTTTTTTCTTTACACATATATTTATAAACAATTACATCCCTGGGGCAGGGCCAGTTTTGACCCCAGGGCTTTTATTTGAACAATCTTTGTAGACACTTACTAGAAGATGTTTCATGCTTAATATCTTAACTCTAGCTATTCGGGTTTTTTCGAAGAAGATTTTTAAGTTTTTGCTATACACATATAAGGAAAATCAATGTCCCCTGGGGCGGGGCCAATTTTGACCCAAGGGCTCTTATTTGAACAAACTTGGTAGACACCCATTAGAAGATGTTTCATGCTAAATATCTTAGCTCTAGCTTTTTGGGTTCTTTAACAGAAGATTTTTACTATATACATATAGGGAAAATCAATGACCCCCTTGGGCGGGGCCAATTTTGAACCCAGGGCTTTTATTTGAACAAACTTGGTAGACACTCACTAGAAGATATTTCATGCCAAATATCTAAGCTCTAGCTCTTTGGGTTTTTTAGAAGAAGAAATTTAAAGTTTTTTCTTTTGGTTGCCATGGCAACCAGAGTTCAGCATGGAATTAAATTCTTTGAACAATTTTCAAAGGTGACCACCAAAGGAACAATCCTGTGAAGTTTGGATGAAATTGGCTTAGTGGTTTATGAGGAGATGTCATTTAAAGTAAAAGTTTACGGACGCTGGACGGACAGACTACGGACGTACGAAAAGCGATCACAAAAGCTCACCCTGGGTGAGCTAAAAATAAGGCAGCGGGGTTTTCCCATGTTGCTTTTAGAAAGTTGCAAACTCAGACCTAGGCTGTGAGTTAACATCAATTGTATTGAATCATTAGGTATCCCTCTAGTGGGTAATTAATTAGCTTTCATTGGACAAAAACAAAGATCTATTTTTAAACAAGAAAATTTTTTTCTTCAATTTAACATTTCTTTGAAAGGGGAAATCTTCGCAAGAAGGGGAATTTTAGACTGTTTTTGGGGAAAAAAGGTAGTAAGTCTGCTTGGGGAAGTAGCCGGATACCAGCTACATAAAAGAAGGGTAAAAAGGCCCTGCCTAGATTATAACCAAGGGTCCGAAAATTCCACTTGTTTGCTCAGGACGAGTGGAAATTTGCCAATGTAATAGAAAGCTAGAATTCTTAAAATCAGTTTGTGGAAAACCAGATACAAACCTTGTGTATAATTTGCGCACTTTATAAAGCTCTGAACGCATTGTTAATTGGATACGGGTGTGACTGGAATGTGTCTGACAATACTCTATAAAGTGCGCGACTTATACATAACCTAAAACACAAGCTAATCAGGGCCGGCAAAATCTGATTTTG